AGATAGATCTCCTGTTTTTAAAAACAAACAATGTTACTACATATAATATGCTAATTCTCTATGCTATGAATCATAATGCTTGGGGAACCTTTAGGAAACAAGATTGTGATGTCAGGTAAGATATTTGAGTGTATTTGTTGTAACTAGTAATACTTTTAATGTTACTTAACGACTCATCACTCAAATCAGGAAATATTTTACCATTCAACTATTTACTTCATGTAGAATCAGTACTAAAAGTATTGCGAATGGTTCATGTGCATTGTAAACAGCATCTACAGCATCTAATTACGAATGTGGGRATCAAAACGAAAGGACCCCCTTCTTTGGAGTCTTGAAATATTTTTGGATGTTAGTTTTGGTTGTTTTGGCTCTACTAAAGTGGCCTACTAAACTTGGAATCAACCTACGCTTTTCATAACGTATGTGTGAAAGAAAACTAGGCCTACTCACATTAGATCACCTAACATCGCCTAAGTTCCACTTTCTCTGCCTTAGTATAGCCCATTCTTTTACTACTTAGATCGCCTTACATTGCTTTATGTCGCCCTGTACCATCCAAGTTTATGCCCCCCTTGGAAAAAAATGCCTTGGAAATTGCCTTTTATTGCCATTCCCCGCGGCGGGGTAAGGACCCAGAGGAGGCAGAAAAAAACTATACGATTCTAGACCAAAATTTCCGGGACCACAAGTCAGAACAATATTGATTACAARAGAAAATTCTGGAAGATTATCTACGAACCAACTGACTGAGATGGTTATTGGTTCTTAAAGATTATATAAGAAATCAGAAATGTCACATAATAATTTAGAACAAACCTTAGAGCAATAGCCATCGTTGCCATCAGACGACGCACTAAACATTAAGGGGTACACCAGTGTCGAGTTTTGGYYCCAAGTACATAAATCAATAGGCACTGTCTCATCTTCAAAGGAAAACCCATCTCCAAAAGATGTCGTCGTGAAGGACGAATTACGAATTCTGACTTCTGACTTTAAGCTCATAATCTTCATGCCAGTAAGGTAATTATCATGAACCAAAATGTCAGTGAGTTCAATGTTGCTTTGCTCGATCAAGTGGCTTACTTGGATACCGTGGAAGGAGTTCGTGATAGTGACGCCGCTTATTTCCGGGGCTTGGTGTGTGACATTCAAAGCAAAAACTGCGTCTTCAATGGTAACATGCTTCAGTATTGATAGTACTCCGGGACTCTGCATCATGAAGGATATCCCTCGCCATTTTACTTTTTCCTTGAGAAAGCTTTGCAAGCCCACGCATTCAATACCAATGGGATATTGGGCTGAACAAAAAGTTAAAAAGGTACAAAATAGAGTTAGTCAAGCAGCCAGACTTTTCTGAAAAATCTACATGCGTTAATCTACTTGAGCTGTTTACAGCATGACACCTTCTATTTTAGTTTCTCTCCAGATTGGAGTTTCTCGCTCTTTTGTGATGATAAATAAAGACTATCGCAATTCATTAAATAGTACCTTATGTTTTTGAGACTAAAATATTTTGTGGTGTTGTCGTTTAAAATTTAAGCTTTCTGATTGGATAACGCGCGACGAAAATTTTTACGCTGGTTGCTTGCGCCATAGGGCGCGCTAATAAAGAGAATTTCGCTTTTAATCAAAAAAAATCGGTCAGTTTTTTTTTCATTTTTTGTTTTAAAAGTCCTTTAGAATCGCGATACAAAACTAATTACGATTTTAAAACGATAATCCCACGAAATATTGACGGCGTTGGAGTATATTCGGCGGAGTCGCGAAGCGGCGGAGCCAATACCAAATATATTTTTTATAATATTCAAAAGCCGCCCAAAAATATTACGTATAATATTAGCTTGGCCTATAAACAAAGTAAACAAGGATAAAAATTATGACTACACTGCGCCGTTTATAACTGTTGGTTACATGCCGACCGTCAGTGAAAATGCTTTAAAGTGTTACTTTTAAAAGTCCACGTGAAAGCTTCAACTATTAAAACAATGAATGTTAGAAACACTTACGGCAGTTTACCCATCTACTTCTGTAGTTGCAGTTCCATAGGTTGTTTTCATCACCTTTGCATCCGAAATAATCAATGAGATAGAGCTTTGTTCGATCAAAAGGACGYTCGAAATGTCTCTTCCCTCCTAAGAAGCCCAAATGTCTGCATGCAACATCAGTATTCTTTTCAGTCCAGTGATCTGCACAGATAACCCCCCATCTATTGTTCATCAATATTTCCAGCCGTCCTTCAGTGTAATTATTTCCATCAACAAGGCGTATTCCATTGCCATAGTAGTAGCTAGCGTATGAGCTTGCATTAGGGTAAGGAAATGATGATAACGAAATCTTGTTTTCCGGGCTCCCTTCTGCAACCAAGGAGCCATTGATTCGTATTCCGGTCTCAGGACGAAAGAGCAACTGCGCTCCCGGTTTTAAAGTCAATTGAGAGCCTTCAGGGACTAATAAGTCTTTATCTATCACGAATGGTCCTTGAGAAGGCGTCAGAGTGATGTTGCCCACTAGCTCACCAGCAAGAACAGCTGTAATTAATGATAAATGGAGCAACATGTCAAAAGCCTCCTTTTTTTTCTCTCGCATTACTAACGGATAGGTATTGCCTACTCACTAGATAATAAAGTATAATTTCTGCTTGGAGCTATTGCATCGCTTCTGAATGTCGCAGTGCCCTGCGTCAAGAGAAACAGGACAAAAAGCACTTGACCCAGCTTCATCTGAAACAAAATATTTTTTAAAAAAGAAGTTTATGCTCTTCCCCCCAACTTTCCCCTTAAATTATAAAAATATATCAAGTGCTGCTAAGCCTGAGCTCTGTTTACTGGGCAAGATAAAGATAGACAAGATTGAACGATAAGGGCTGTGGGGTTAAAAACCCAAAGCCGATTTATTGAGTTAATAAGTTCAATCTAGATACTTACAATCATTTCATAAAATTTGATATAACTGTTCAAATTTAGCTCAGCAAAGGTGAGGGCAACAAACGCCACGCAATAGCAAAAATGGGCAGGGAGGGTGGGAAAAACCTGACGTCTTAGCTGTTCAAGGACGTGAAGCAACTGATCCCACGAGGTTGTATAACGTGGATAGATAGTTGCCCATGACAACAGCTATCAAAAGGAGTACCGCTGCCCATCTGCCGCGTGACTTCTGTTCTTACGTAACTATAATTTTAGCCTATCTTTAATGGCTTATTAATCAAATAATTACAAAACAGTTGAAGGGGAGCATAAAAATCCTATTCGCCAGCAAATAATCCATTTCTAAGGTGCGACAACGAAAAGAAAAAGGTGAAATATCATATTTCATCCAGGAACCAAAAAAACGTTTTGCACATTAAAAACAATGAGGAGGAATATATAACACGGTCAAAATGTTTATGGACCTACTTTATAGTACGATTTTGTCCTATAAATAGTCTTTTACAGCGAATCGATTGCATGTTMGGCATCTAAAAAGAAACTCTAAACGTCATACCAAGAGGTCACCGGAATCAGATCCTGATTTGCATCCAAAAGCGTCAATAAATTTACCTCTCGATCGCCATATAATATACYTATTTTTCTATAAATTGACTCCGAGACTCATACGTTGACAATTCAGGGTCGTAATCATCATTTKAACAGTGGTGCTGGTTAAAAAAATTGTGTCAGAATTTTGAAATTTATTCTTGTAATGACTTTTTTAATGAGGAAGTGGCTCTGACAATTAAACATGGTCCGGTTAAGTCTAATAAAAACGCATTAAATATGGCCTACTCATGTCGAAAACAGTCCAAATGTTTTCTTATGGAAGGTAGCAATCGTATTGGTAGCACATCAGTAAAACATTTCAAAAATGTTTGTCGRCCGAGTATTTCCGGGTATGAAATTATTGCATAGTTTGGTACAAAAGACCCTGGCGAGTTTCGCCTTTTTTWATTTTTGTTTTCGTTAGTTTTCTCCTGCTGCTTAGTGACAAATAAACTCCAAATGTTTTCTTATTGAAGGTAACAATCGTAATGGTGGCACTTCAGTAAAACATTTTTAAAATGTTTGT